TAATAGTGAACTCGAAACACTTCGTCGAATTTCACTAGAGCACTCTTTGCGTTTAAACCCCACAAAATGTGTTACTATGCTTTTTGCTAGTCGGGTCAAATATGCTCAACTATTACCCGAGGTTAATATAACTGTTGATAATGTTCAGTTAGAAGTTAAAAATGAAGTTAAAGTTTTGGGTCTTACTATTGATAGCGACCTCAGATTCAATAAACATATATCAAACTGTGTAAAAAATCCATTATTAATTTAAAAATGTTATACAAATCCAGACATATCTTAAGTGAAAAACTAAAAATTTTACTTTGCCAGTCTTTGGTTTTAACTGTGTTTACGGTGATACTGTTTATGGTTCATGTTTAGCTCATGCGACATCTCAACGAATTCAGAAAATTCAAAATTACTGCCTTAGGCTTATATATGGTATTAGAAAGAGAAATCGAGTAAGACACAAGCTAATGAATACAAAATGGTTGGATATGAAAAATACCCGTCTATGTTACATCACAGTGCTGCTCTCTTTATGAGTATCATGTTAAATAAATCCCTCCAATATTTGTACAATAAAATCAGATTCCGAACTGACGTTCATAATTTAAACACCTGATTTAAAGGTAATTTAACCCCTCCTTCACATAAAACTGCAACATTTGAAAGATCGTTTAATTACAATATGCCAAAAATTTACAACGCCCTACCGTTGCTTCTCAAACCGCTGTCTGTCAGTTGTTTAAAAAATATATAAAGCCTTTCTTTTTAATTCTCAAATTTACAGATTAATCCTAGTTTGCAGCAGGGAAATAGACCAGGGAAATCGGGATGTCAAATCGAGAGGGGAAGTCAAGACTGGAAATAGAGGACAGTAATGTGACACTTCCAGAATTTTAAAAAGTCAGTAATATCGTCATTACATTTTGTTGTTGAAAATAAATTAATTTACCTTAGTCCGAAAATGTTTAGTTTAAACTATACAAGCTAAAATTTTTGGATATATTGTATTTCTATAGGAAACAAAAAAAATCCACTTTAAACATTTTATTAACTGTGTCAGTGGCATACAACGTAATGAGTGGTCCCCTATATTCGAAAATGTTTGTCTTAAAATTCGAATACAAAGAGAAAATTCCATTTGTGAGAAGTTTACGATACCAAATTGACTTACATCTGGGAAATTCAAGATTTTGTTATTATATGAACTTTTTCGTTCCTTTGGAGAGATCAACCGATTGCTACAATCAACTCCCATTTTCAGCCGAGTCCTTATAGCCTACTTTGAAACATTAGTTTAAATTTTTAATATATTCTACACTGAAAGAAATGGGCTTATTAAACTGTATATCTAGAATAATATGTATAGCGCATAGTAAAACTTTTATAACCAATATACGACTTTTAAAAAAAAAGCAATCATATCCATACTCATTATAGAATGAGTTTAACTGGAAGGTGCTTAATACACCTTATGCATCTATGAAATAAAGGTTATAATGAATTACTTATACATTATTAGGTGTTATAGACTTTATGTTCNACATGCACCAGAAATTACAATAATAAGTGCAAGCTAAAATAATAAAAAAATCAGTAAATATCTCCGATATTTAACAATCAAGAAGGTATGCTTACTTTAATAGGCGTAAATTTCTAAGGCGCTTTAGCCTAGATTATCGATATTTTGTCTTGAAAACACACTCGATTTCTTCGATTTGAAACCAACATTTTGTCGCTTCAAAAACATCGTCGGCTTTGCATATTTCGAAATGTCATTCTTATCTTTAAGTTCTATTATGGTCCTTAGCATGTTGTAGGTAGCCTAGAGAGTGGATGATATTTTTTTCTTTGAAGATTTCGCCAAAGTACACCAACAGAGTAGTTTCTGATCGAAAATGTGTTGTTTTTACAATGACACCAGGACCGATAAATTTGGAACGCTTTTTCATATCGCCCCTTGGTTTTTATCGGTACCTATATTAATTAACTTTTACATATTTTACTGTGGCTAAATTTGTAAGATATTTCTGAAATCTCTGTTGACTTAATCTCAGTTTGAGAAGAGATCTAGAAAAAAACTCTACTACAGTATCCTGGTGGTTTTCTTTTTAGTAATTTATTATTATCGTTATTAGAATTATTAACTAATCTTTTCATTTAACGAAAAAACGTTCCCTTACAATTGCGTTACTAATTAGAAATTTAATGCTTGTTAAGGAAACAACTAACCCATCGTTCACAAATAAAGCTATGTCCATACTGCTGATGAATGAGCACACTGACAGATCGTCAATATTTGCTTCGCACAGAGCTAATAATAACGTCAGCATTACAGAATATTATTATCAGTAATCTGAACTTTAAACGTACTGGAACTATTCGTACTTATACTATGGGTATAATATTCCATATACCTAAAAAGAAATTAAAGAATATGTACCTTCTATCTATTATAAATTATAAATACTGCGAATAAGAGAGAAAATCAAATTTATGCAGACTTTTCCATTAAATAATAATGAATTACTCTTAATATTAATGAATCAAACTCTACCATAAATTAATAAAATATGACAATGGCAAATACCATTTGCTGCACGACATTCGTCGATTTAATGTTGTCATTCATAATGTATTACCGAGCTGAACACCAAGTGACTGATTCATATGTATGCTACATATGTCTTTGAAATTGTTATATCGTGAAATGTTCCTGTCTAAATATAAATGTTATTATAAAATCCACATGATGTATTGTCAGAGTTTATCGAACTATAATGAATTTTGTGGTAACATATATGTAACACACCATCAAAATTTATAACATCCCCTGACTAAATCGAACGTAATGTAGGGGGTCGTGAGGTACTTCCTTCCATTTTTAATTAAGAACTTACAACCAACTTAAAATTTCAGTTGTAACGAATTTTACTTAAATGAAATGCATAGCGATACAGTGCATAAATCTCTTTGGATGAACGTAAATACAGATTTCATTTTAAAATCATGGTTACAAGCGGAATCGCAGTGAGGTTGGTTGGAATCCAATATTCAACATGTGTACAATGTCTCGTAAGGTTTTATCCCCTAAAACTTTTTTATGTTTTTGGCATATTGACAAATTATTATTTACAATCACAATTCTCTTTTTTTTTAATTTTTTATCTTTAAATTTGTATTTATTTTTTATTTTTATGATTTCTTAATTTTTATTCATTTTTCTATCATTTTCAACTTTAGTTAATGAAATCGCGAAACAATTTGCATTTAGTAAATTGTTTGTATTTATTGCATGCAACTGTATAACTGTAAAATGTTAACATTTATTTAGGTACACATGGTGTTCCCATGATCCATTCATCAGGATTCACGAAAGATGAACATAAAGTAGAACAGGTCCTAATTTCCAATGCTTTACTGTTTACATGTTTATTTTTCATTAACGTGGATAATTTATCTGGGCCAATTATCTAAAGGAACCTTCTAAATACGCCTATAGAGACTGTCTTTACAGAAATCTAAATATATTGTTTTAGCTATATTGAATTATTCTTTACTAGTATCAATTTTGATAATATTTTATTTTTTTAACTGTTAGAATGTACATTATTGAACTATTAGACTACATTTCTACCACCAACGAATGTATCAAAAAGTTTAATTAAATTAATTATTTAAATACCTAAGTTAATTAAATTTAATCTGTAGTTTCATTTTAACTACGATTGATATCTCTAATGTATTATGGACAATATCAAAAGTTTTGACAATATTACTAGATTAATGTGAATTATTTTTTAACCAACAACTTTATGAAAATGAACCGCCATAGACCAAGTTACTTTAGTACAATTTTGATTCCTTAAAAATTTACATATTTTTTTTAATTTTTATTTTGGTACCTGGTTTTGTTATCTTTAAAAAGAAATGTCAATAAGAAAATTTGCATCAGAAAAGTCTCATTATTGCACCCAAAAAAATTGCTTCCATCTACTTTTTTCCAACACTTTGTATAAACATAAAATCCTTGTGAAATACACTAGTATTTTGTATCCGTTTTATTTTTTTCTCGAAAGAATGTTAAATTAGAAGAGTGATGAGTGGTTCAGAATTAGGAAATTCATTAAAATACATATGCAGTTCTGTCATACCTTATTATGTTGGTAAGAAGAAGAATAAAAAAATTATAGGATGTGTGAAATATTTTCGGCAAATACTCTCAGCAAAAAAATTAAGAAAAATCAGAAAAATTTCCATTTTTTTTAATGATTTTTGAAAAGCTGTAACTTCGTGAATAATGGTCGTATCGAGAAAAAAAGAAGCATCTTGAAGCTTGAAGATTCTAGTTTTGAAATCTTGATATGAAAAAGTGTTTTGAGCATCACTCTAGGTAAAAATTTTATTTTTCAAAATTTCCCATGGGCTCAAAAAATTTTTTTCTGGCCTAGTCGATGACAGGGGCATTTAGCTTGATTTCTCGGCTTCAATTTGTTTTTTTTTTATTTTCTGTACGATTATTTCTCATTGAGATATTGAGTGAAAAGTCACCTTTTTTTTTATTATGGATATTTCATGAACTAATCGTACAAAGAACGGAAGTTTTGTTTTAGAAACTTGAGGCAATCCTTTCAAGGGCCTTTTGGTAAGTTTGAGAAAAAAAAATAAACTAAGTATTAATTTGAAAAAGTGTAAAAATTACATTTTCTGCTGTTTTGAAAAACCAACGACTACTTTGCGAATATTGCGCAAAGTACCAATGTTTTTAGATTTCTTTTTAGCTCAATACACGCACATAAGGCCCGTAAATTTTGAAATCGATGGGTCGAACTGTTTTCCTTTCCTGATTCGTCAAAGTTTTATAAAAAATTAAAGAAGCAGGTCTATTGCTCCTTAAACATCAATTAATGATGATCAAGATGGAAAAATTCTTGCCGAGTTGATTTTGAAAAAATAAATAAAAGAAAACTATGCAATACACCAGTTTTATCATTATAACATTTTTTTTTCAGAAATAAACTCGACAGCATCACCTCCGTCCCTAGAAGACTTGAAACTTAACGGGATAGAAGACATAATCTATCAGAAAGACGCCGTGATGGACGCCTTGGAGTTCTCCCTGCCTAACGTCACCACCACCGAGTCCAACGATATCCCTCAGGTCATCCCCAACTTCACCACCCCATCCCCCAGCCGAGCCAACTACACCACGCAGGGTCCTCGATTGGAGCAGAAGCTCACCTCGGATGAGACGGGGGTACCGCGGGCCACCTCGCCGATATCGACGATCAAGCCCTGTCCTCTTGACTGCGGACCCGGAGGCGGATGCAGCCTGGAGAATTCGGAGGGGGCGCCTGTTTGTCTATGTCCGCTGGGGAGGGGTGGAGAACGTTGCGAAGAAGGTGAGTTCGGAAACTGTTATAAACCATTAATAAAATTTCAGACTCGGTGGAAATAGCACACAGTGTGTATAAAATTCCGTTTATTTCTACGTATCTCTACAACGCTAGGGCCCAGAAAGCGCTAGGCGCAGTCGAATCGCGTCCTTTCTATTGGCCCCTATAACAATAGCTCTTGGTAATGGAACCTTAATTCCCAAGAATTGGTTACTGCGCAATACTTCAACAACGCACCAGACTCGTTCAAGATGAATCTCTGGCTAGTAGGCTTCTTCCATTGCGGTTTAATCTAGCTCATTTTCAGATCAGGAAATCTAATCCTGATGTTCAAAACAGTAGGACACGCTCTTTTGGTTGCCTATAACTTACTTAACACCATCTCGATGACACTTTGCAATCACGTTTTAATTGAGCCTTTTCTCATAGCTTTTATTTTTGCACCATTCTGCTTAACACTTTTGTGACTTTGGCTAATGAGCATTCTTGTTTTGGGCTAAAGAGCATTTTGGATTGACCACAAGTTCTTATTTAATTATAGCTGATGTGAACACCGTATTGGTGCTCTAGGTCTAAACCTGAACTCGTAATAATTTGTAACAAGCTAGGTTGATCATAAAAAGTTTATTTGAAATATTCGTTTAACTATGTTTGGCTTTAGAATATGAAATTCAACGTATACAATACAGGGTGTCTCATAATTAGCTGCAAACCCTGAACAGGCCGATTCTATGATCAAAACTAAGTAAAAAAGTTCATATGAACATGGGTCCGGAAATGCTTCCTAAGGGCACAGGGACCCATTGAAGAGGGAGGAATGGAAACCATTTTTTTGCAATATCTCTCAATCGCGTTGATAAATGAATGAAATTTGGTATACACAGCTAAATTTTGATGAGCAATTTGATGGACTAATCCATTTATTTCCACAAGGTCCGAGTGGGGCCCTTGGTATTTTGCGTGTGTAACATTTTCATCTTTGACTTTTTAACAAATTGGACAGCAAATTGGTTTTCCCGAACTGTTTTACGTTGTTTCAAATCGTTATCTTTAACGGTTTCTGAGAAAATCGCTCTTGAATTAATCCCACTTTGGTCAATTTCATAGTAATTTAAACAAAATTATCAAGGTACTTGTCTCCACTACCTTTTAAAAATCTGCCACATTTAAACAATGATGGCTCTTTTAATAGTCATAACAAACATATCAATTGCAACTAACATAATATTATTCTGTGTTTAGTGAAATAGAGCTCCGCGTAACTTTATCTTGAACCAGTGGTGGCTAATTTAGTATTATACGAGTAAAGAGCCTGGTTAGCATAAACTTCTGTGTGACCCTAGCATTAGAGACAAAGGTATGTCGTAGATTCTGCGAAACTATTTTAAACATCTCTCTGTATTCTATAATAATTGGAATATCATTGGTCTTACGGCGACATACCTAAACAGGTGATGAAAAATATGTTTGGCAGATTAAAGGACTTTCTTTTCAAGTTAATGGATGTTGAAACATCATAAAAATATACAAATTACTCTTTAATCTTATAAGGCAAAGGAGATATTAAACCAAATTTGGCACATAATTAAAATTTTATTTCCAAACTAATTTTTTTTATCTGTTATAGTTTGTTACTTTAAAGTCGAACTTACTCAAATTTATTAAGTTGTAGGCGCTCAATTGTGTCTGTAAATAGAGCAAAATCCAAATCTTAGTAATTATTTAAATACCAATCCTCTAAAAATTTTGAATCGATTAATGTAATAAATCATTTATCATCATTATTTAAATGAATAATTAATATGTCACTAATTGGATAATATAAATTTAAAAATAAATATTTTGTTGCATAATATGAATAATATATCACTATTAATTAAACTTACAACAAAAATTGAACATCATTGGTCCTAATCTCTTTATTATGTTTGCAGGAATTTGAAACAAAAATTTATAATAGATATTCAAACACTAATTTAAATTGTCACAATAAATTTATTATAAATATCGTATCAGTCAATAAAGTTGTTAGCTTATTAATAGTAAATATATAATTATTTTGTTGATGTAATAACAATAGACTCTTACTGAACGCTTTCAGTTAAACAAATAATAACAATAATAATGCAACGGGATTGTAATTTTTTAGGAATTCTGTGAGTAGTACTAATAACCAAAATAATCCACTGTAATCCATAATAACTGTGGGTGAGATATAACATACAAAAAAATGATACATCTTAAGGCCTTCAGCATTCGTCAGTTGTCTCACCCATGGCATACCGATGATTAACTAATACATTTGAAACCGGTATATGTTTGGTGATTCAATTCAGAAATGATCTTGCAATTAGCTAATAATCTATGGTGTAGTTATTTTCTACAATATCAGTAACACATTTTTCTAGTAAACATCAAGTATTCAACATTGTTTGATTAAATGTTAAGATCACAAGAGTTTTATAGAAACCTGGAGATAGAAGGTAGATTATTATTTTCGATAAGTATAATAAATCGTTTGCGGGATTCGGCATGAAAACATTATTGAAAAGCGGTCACATCGGCAACGTGAAACAACGTATCGTTTATTATTCCTTCCAATACCTCGCGATAAGATTCACAGAATTCGCCTCTACTCCGCAAGATATCGCCACAAATAACTCACCGAGACTAAGGAAAAAAACGTTCCTATAGACTCCGAGTCAATACTTGACAATTCAGCCAATAAAACACCTTGCAAATGCATTACCTTGTTCGCTTATTTTAGCTTCTCTACGGTTTTAAGGTGGAAGTTTCCCACAAAGAATAATACACCCCTGGAGGAACTCTCCAACTTCGGGGCGAAATGTAAATTCCCCGCTTTGGTGTTTTTTATTCGTATCACGGAAGGTGCTATGGCAGCGTTATTAAATATTCCGAATCCTGAATGGAAAGCTCCCGCAAGGCCGAGGTATTTTACGCCGCGTATTATCCAGTCTCGGTACCCTTGATTTGTTTATTGGAAAGAAATAAAGAGATAACAAAACGAGTCTAAATGAGCGGAGGGGGTGCTGAAAAAGTAATTGGAGACATTGTTAGGTGATATTTTAAACGCTATCGATATTTTATATCTATTGCAAAAGCAATGCGCATAGTTTATTAAATACGGATTCACACATGCAAAAGCATAGGTATAAATAAAAAATGTCATAAATGTTTTCACTTATTAGACCAGACGGGATTTGTTTTAGTGTAGATGTTTTATATAGTATCGCTAATTTTTGCTTTAATGGCTCCAAAATGATATAATAAAACATAATTTCACTATGCGCGCGCTTCAAAACGTGTGCTAAACTTATTATTAAACAAATAGTGAAAAAATTGGAAAAAATTCAATTTTTTTTTCTTTTTTCAACACAGTTCAAAAACTATTCATTTCAGAGAAAAATTGAAGAGCAAAAAAAGATTCGTAATTAAATTTTACACGATATACCTATTTTCAAATAAAAAATGCAACATAATTATTGAAAATATAGCAAGAACAACAAAAAAAAGTTAAAAAAATTACAATATTTTTGTGATTTTTTTAAAAATACTTATATTATAGGTAGGATCTTCATACTTGGCCAAAAAAAATATTTTTGATATAATAAAACATCACACCAATTTTCGTTAAAATCGGTCCGATAGTTTTTGAGTAATAATTTTGTAATCCACATTTTTGTTAAAAAAAAAATTAAAATTTTTGCAAATTTAACTGAGCCTAAATTAAGACTTCTAGATACTTGAAAATTTCACATAAAAAAGGGTACTCAAACTTTAAAACGAGTCCAGAAAAATTGAAATCCGTTAATTAGGAGGGCCGTGGTAATTGTTTAAAGATATGCGTAATATTTGCGCTTAAAAACAAATAGAATAACTTTATAAATTCATTATAATTATTTTTTAAAATTATGGTTTGAAAGTACTCGGAAAGATGTTTCTTTTAAAAAAAACGTGGTGATTCGTTAATTGTTTCCAGAGTTAAGTATAGTCGATCAAAGTTAACCGGCATTTGAGGTGTAACTACGAGATCTGGAGAGCTGTTTTTTTAAACAAATACCTTTGTCATTCCGAGTACTTCCCGGGAGTGAATTTGCAAAACTTGCACCCTCGTGCGACCCATATAAAATGTCGACCGAGTATGAAATTCACGAAAAATGTATTGGATGTAGTGGTGGGGGGTCGAGAGCTTGGCTACTCCGGCCGACTCGAAATTGAAATCGCACGTTCAAAATAGCTGCGGGCGCCCTTAAAAATGTTGATTATCTCGGCTTCTAGTGGTCCGATTTTGATATATTTTTTTAAATCGGTGTCTCGCGAGCTGAAAAGTCCAAATATTGCATTTTCAAATGCGAATTATTGTTAATTATCGACCCATTAACGCATTGATAATTACTACTTTTTAATTTGCTTACTTCTCGTGTATTTTTCTTTATTCTATTAATGAACATTACTTAAATTTATATAGCTTTTATCCGTACATTGTATTCAATTTGTTTAAACATTCAAAATTTGTTCAAAGGATAATTATATAAATAAATTTTTAAAATCAAATTATCTTGGAAAAAAGCATTATACTACATTTTTATTGAATATAAATTAATTTTAAGTGTTTATATACATTTTTAAAAATTAAACAATAATTTAATCAGTTAATGATTTCATTTTATTTTAAATTATAATAAGTTTTATGAAGTTAAGAAATTCTATATAAATTATTCGAGTCTAGCTCGTTTATATACTGCAGTAATTTCAGAAGTTTCATCAGCATATTCTTCTATTTCTCCATCATCAAATTGGTATATATTATTTGCAAAAGCCTCCAGTTCGTGATCTTCCAAATATATGTCTTAAAAAAAGTGATTTCTGAGTTTATAAATACCTTAGTTTCCAAGCGGCAGTTTACTTTAGTACAGAATAAGCGGAAGAGCAAGTACAAGCTACTCCTAGAAGTCCCAAAAATGTATTTCGACTCTTATGGCAGA